GGCTGTCTTGAGCGTCTTCAGTCAGATTTTAGCGAGGGATGTCTAATTTGGGGATCGAGGACTCGCTTGTGGCGAAGTCCCCCCATCTGACATCAAGCACCCAGCACAGCGCCTTGTTCCGGACACGCTGCAGTTTATGTAAGTTCGTTTTAGGCGCAAGAGAGAGGGCTAGAGGAGAGTAAGTTATCAGAGGACGTATTAGGGATTTGTAGAGGTGTAGTTTGGTGCGTTGAGAGGCATGTTTCAGCTTGTAGAGGCCCGCAAGGGCCTTACTAGCTATTGCATGTCTTAAGTGAATGTGTCCGTGTAAACGAAGAAGGTAGTCAAGATTAACGCCAAGGACAGTGACAGATTGTGTGATGGGGATGTAAGTGCGGGTGTCAGCTGTTCTGAGCTCGACAGGTAATGGAGGATCAAGCTTCCTGTAGTTAAAATATGTAATGCTGGATTTAGCTGCATTGGTTTTGATCCTCCATTTTTGTTCTCAGATGGCTATCCTGTCGACCTCATTTTGTGTTTTGTGTGTGAGTATATCTATATTGGCGTGAGTGATAAGTTGTGTAATGTCGTCTGCATAGGCTAGTGTGATGGAATTGTGGTATACAGGTGTTGGAATGTCGTTAGTGTATAAAATGTAGAGGGTAGGGGAGAGGACAGATCCCTGGGGTACTCCAGCATTTGGTGTGAAGTAGTCAGAGTAACAGCCTTGGAATTTGATTCTCATGGTACGGCCGTCTAGGAAGTTGCAGAGAAGTTTACGAGTAGTGAGAGGCAGGTTAAAGTTAGTGCAGAGTTTGTATTTGAGCCCTTCGTGCCAGACAGTGTCAAAGGCTTTTTCAACGTCTTTTGCAACCAGGGCTGTCCTGTTTCTTTGTTTTGTGTTTATGTGGTGTAGTTGGATGATGTTAATGGCATCTTGTGTGGATCTGTGTGTTCTGAAGCCAAACTGGCCATCAGAAAGTAGAGAGTTGTGTTCCAGGTATCTGCGAAGGCGATGATTGATGAGTTTTTCAAAGAGTTTACCTAAAGTTTCGAGGAGGCTGATAGGACGATAGTTTCTAGGATCAGAGTGGTCTTTATTGGGTTTAGGAAGGAGGATAGCAGTAGCAGCTTTGAAGAGGGAAGGGAAGTATCCAGAGGCTGTGTAGAATGTTGTTTCTAAGGTAAGTGATATCTAATCGGACTTGATTAAATCTGTGTGTTATAGAGGAAGCGGTTGTGGTAGCAGACAGTCTTCTTGTTCTACCTGGAGTTTTACCTGGAGAGAGTTTCGGGGGTCAACGCCCCCGCGGCCCGGTCTGTGACCAGGCCTCCTGGTGGATCAGCGCCTGATCAACCAGGCTGTTGCTGCTGGCTGCACGCAAACCAACGTACGAGCCACAGCCCGGCTGATCAGGAACTGCCTTTAGGTGCTTGTCCAGTGCCAGCTTGAAGACTGCCAGGGGTCTGTTGGTAATCCCCCTTATGTGTGCTGGGAGGCAGTTGAACAGTCTCGGTCCCCTGACACTTATTGTATGGTCTCTTAACGTGCTAGTGACACCCCTGAGGGTTTGAAAGAATAACGAGTGGTGTGAGTTTTCTTTGGTATTGCGATGTTGGCTGCTTGTGTAATGGTGTCCTGGATGAGATCAAGTTGAGTATCGATGTCAGAGATAGACCATACCCCCGGCCGGGATTGAACCCGCGGTCATAGGTTTGTTGTTGTAGTCATAGGTGAGGTTAATATTGTCTATGTGTTGTTTGAAGGCATCCCAGTCAGCGCTCTTATAGAAGGAAGGTGTGGCCGGGATGAGGATAGGGTTGGAGGAGATGTGTAAGATGACTGGGATGTGATCAGAGCCTGTAATAGGGCCAGGTGAGATGTAGTGTTGAAATAGAGAGCTGGCTCGGTTTGAAAGAACGATGTTGGGTTTGCCGTGGCCAGTGTGGTTGTAGAAGGTTTTGAAGTCTGGGCCGAGGTGAATTAGGTGTCTATGGTTTGTGAAGTTGAGTAAATGGTGACCAAGTTGGTTGTTACTGGTGTGATGAAAGGCGATGTGTTTGGCATTCATGTCAGCTAGTAGGTATGTTGGTGTAGTTGAAGACTAAGGAAAGGTTGTGTATATTGAGAATAGTGTTTAAACGAGCATAGGTGGTGAAAAAGATAAAGGGGCCAAGGTGGGTGTGTATTCTGACCGCAAGACAGTGTTGGTGAATAAAATGGATTGGGAGAAATTCGTGTTTTATGTTGGATTCGACAACGAGAAAGAGAGCAGGATGGGTATATATAGGCAGGAGGTGGTAGTGGTAGTAGTGGAGGTGGAAGGAAGTAGTAGTGGGGAGGTTGTAAGAGTAGGAGGGATCAATCAAATACTAAGAAAGAGGAGCACTGAAAGGGAGCTAGGTGCCCACAGAGGGTCAGAGCAAGAACACAGAGGAAGGGGGAACAAATAAATAAGTAAATAAAGAAGGAACAAATACACAGGGCAGAAGAAAGACCACCCAAAGGAGAAAAAGGAAAAAGGTAAGGGAAATAGGGAGAAGAAGAAAAAAGGGAGGAATCAGGTTAGGTCACGGGTGTTCTGAAGTTTGGAGCATTTTACAATGTAGTGGGAGAGGAAGGCATCTACAGAGACGAAGCCAGGGCTAAGGTTCATACAAGGAAAGTTGTGTATTAGGGAGGATTCAACTAGACAGCGACTGTTAAAGTTGGAAGTAGGGAAGACAGTTTTAGCAGAAGACCAGTCAATAGGATGGCTATGATCTCTGACGTGACAGAACAGAGCATTGTTAGTGTCGGCAAGCCTAACACTATTTTTGTGCTCCCTAAGTCTGTCAGAAAGAGATCGACCAGTTTCTCCAAAGTATTGAAGAGGACAGGAGGAGCAAGAAATAGAGTAGACACCAGGAACATCTGTAGAGGGAGGAGAGGTATGAACGAGATTAGTGCGAAGAGTGTTAGTCTAGCGGAAAGTAAGTTTGATGTCTAAGGAATGGAGAGAATTGTTGAGATTAGAAAGATCGGAAATATAGGGAAGGCAGAGGACAGAAGAGTTCCCAGGAGTAGAGAGTCTGGGAAAGAAGAAATTACGTTTAGCACGTGAGAGAGCAGAGTTTATGAAATGGGAAGGGTAGCCATCCTGCTCTCCCTCTCGTTAGTGTGACTTTGTAAAATGGTCCAAGTCGGACCGAAACGTCGTCGTAAGCTCATCTCTTCCATGTGCAGGTTATTTGCTTTTGCAGAATCTGTGTATATTACATCTGCATTCTTTTTGTCTTCTAGTGCATCTAGGACCTTGTAGTGATCCAGTAGTTGAGACAGACAGGAGCGACCTGTTCTAAACCCATGTTGCCCTGGGTTGTGTAACTGATGGGTTTCTAGATGGGTGGTGATCTTGCTTCTTAGGACCCTTTCAAAGATTTTTATGATATGGGATGTTAGTGCTATTGGTCTGTAGTTCTTTGCTGTTGCTTTACTGCCCCCTTTGTGGAGTGGGGCTATGTCTGTTGTTTTTAGTAACTGTGGGACGACCCCCGTGTCCATGCTCCCTCTCCATAGGATGGTAAAGGCTCGTGATAGGGGCTTCTTGCAGTTCTTGATGAACACAGAGTTCCATGAGTCTGGCCCTGGGGCAGAGTGCATGGGCATGTCATTTATCGCCTGTTCGAAGTCATTTGGCGTCAGGATAACATCGGATAGGCTTGTGTTAATCAAATTTTGTGGCTCTCTCATAAAAATTCTTTTGATCTTCGACTCTCAGTCTGGTTAGCGGCTTGCTAAAAACTGAGTCATTAATGGGACTTGAGTAGCTCACTCATTTCCTTGCTGTCATCTGTGTAGGACCCATCTTGTTTAAGTAGGGGCCCAATACTGGACGTTGTTCTCGACTTTGATTTGGCATAAGAAAAGAATTATTATTATTATTATTATTATTATAATCAAGGGGAAGCGCTAAACCCGTAGGTTTATACAGCGCCCAGGGGGGGGGATGTGGAAGGCATTCAGGCTTAATTTCGGGTAACTGGAGCACAGATCCAATTCCCTAAATCAAGAGCCCCTCACCAACATCAAGGAACCTTCCATGAGGGGATAAGAAAAGAAATACTTTGGGTTTCTTTCGATTTCATTTATGGCTTTTAGTTCTTCCCGCGATTCCTGACTCCTAAAGGATTCTTTTAGCTTAAGTTCGATGCTTGCTATTTCTCTGACCAGTGTCTCCCTGCACATTTCAGATATATTGACCTCTTTTAGCCGCTCTGTTATTCTTTTCCGTCGCCTGTAAAGGGAGCGCCTGTCTCTTTCTGTTTTACATCTACTCCTCCTTTTTCTTAGAGGAATAAGCCTTGTGCATACATCGAGTGCCACCGAGTTAATCTGCTCTAGGCATGTACTGGTAGTAAAGATATTATTATTAATTATTATTTAAATTATTATTATTATTATTATTATTATTATTATTATAAAGGCACGAAGATGTTCTCGTAATAATTTATTTGTTTTTTACAGAAACTGATCTTCAGGGGCATGGTAAAAAAAAAAACTTTCAAATGGTTAATTGGAATATGATAAAAATTTAGTAAATGTAATCAAAAATTAATTTTGCATTATGAAAATATTTTGATGCCTGTGTTGGTGTAGTAAGTTTTTTTTTCAGTCATTTTATAGTTAATTAATCTTAATCATATCACAAGCTACAAACATTAATCCATATTTCACTGATATAACATGGACCCCAATGTAATAATAAGTAATTATGTAACTTATTCAGGTATACACAAATACATAATTATCATACATAGCAACATACGTATAGAGTACCTGGGATAATCATTTTTTTGGGAACAAGTCACTGCCTTTTTTGGGTTATCCCAGGTTCTCTACACATATACTGCTATGTATGATAATCTATGTAACTATGTATACCTAAATAAAGTAATTTATCCAGATAAGTAATGGTCCACAATGGGGTTGCCAAGACCTCCATATAACGGGTACCTGCCTCAGACACCTCAGTGTTACACTGTTGAGGAAGGGACGTTGTTACATGGACACCCTTCACTATTTTTGCTATTTATAGCCTCTAGAGTCGTTATTTGTGTGATTATCTGGTAGTTTTGTGGTCGCCATGCATGTGACTAGGAAAAGAAAAAAGGCATTTGAAAAGGATGATAGCCATACGACTGGAAAACCTCAGGAGACAGAGGCTTCACCAAGGTACCACTGGAAGCTCTAGTGGCGCGGCTGAGGATTCCGGCTGTGATGGCGCTACACCTTCCACCTCCACTAATTCCTCCAACACAACTAATTCCTCCAACAATGCTAATTCCTCCAGCAGCATCAATGAAACGGGGAAGAAGAGGAAAGATCTTGAATCTCCGTCATCAATTAAGTTACCAGATAAAAGAAAGAGGACGACATTAGTGCCTTATGCGCCGCCCGAATTTAAAAAACCCACCAGACGGAACTCAAAATCAAAAATCGACAGACAGCAGATAATACGAGCTTCAGATAAGCCTGGAGAAAATGAGACATCAGTCATGATGATGTATTCGAATTTATTACAGATAGTCAAAGATAATTGTTATAAATGTGGATTACATGATGTATCTCCAGAATTTGTAACTCGTGGACAGGAATTTTTTGTAACTGTAACTTGTAATAAATGTAATATTGTAATTCGAAAGCCAACTCATAAACTAGGTGAAATAAATAGACAGACCTGTTTAAATATTTATGCTGAATTATTAAATGGTGGGGGATATCAAGGGTTTGCAAAGCACAATGCCTTTATGTTAAGGGAGAACCTTGATCCAAGGACATTTAGGAAGTTCACAAGATTTATTACTGAGAGAGCTGTTGCAGAATGTGGGAAAATACTACAAGAAAGTCGTGAGAATGTAATTACTGAGTATACCAAAAATGGTATATTACCTGGGGATAATGGGATACTTGATGTTAATGTAACATGTAATGTAACCTGGCAAAGTCGTGGCTTCCACTCAAAAATGGGATTATTTGTAGTAACTGAAGCAGATACTGGTCTTATTCTTGACTATCATATATTAACAAAATATTGCAACCGTTGTTCAAGCTTATATACCTTGTACAATGGTAAGAAAATAACAGCAGCCTTTTTCTTATTGCAACGTGCCAAGCACGAGCCATTTTGTAAGGTCAATGAGCAGGTCAATTCAGGGGTCATGGAGGCCAAGACTGGTCAATTAATATGGGGTCGATCAATGACCTATAAAATGCGGTATGTGAATATTATAAATGAAGTTGATATGGCCATTTACTCAGGACTAATTAATATGAACAATGGCCGGGGACCATATAATGATCTTCAGGTGAATAAAATTGACTGGGTGAATCATTACTCAAAAAGACTGAAAAGTCGTCTAACAAAATTAATTGAAGACAACCACATTATCCGGGAAATAAATAATGAAAAAACTAAACTATTCCTAATGAAAGGGAAAGGAAGGCTGTCAGATGCTATTGTTAACAAATTATCTTGCTATTTTGGTCAAATAATAGAGGAATCAACTGGAACTAGCATAGAAACAATGAGAAATACCATCATAGCAAGCTATTTGCACTGTACATCATCAGACACAAAACCAAATCATAATTTATGTCCTACTTCAAAAACCTCCTGGTGTTTCTACAATAAATCCATCGCAAATAATGTAGAAATACCCTCACACAGCACTATGAAGATTTTTATCCATTTAAAACCTGTCCACCATGAACAAGTGTTAAGAATTTACAAAGATTTGACTGAGGATGATATTATACAACGTTGTTCAGGACGTACCAAAAATAACAACGAAACTTTCCACCAGAGAGTATGGATCAATTATCTCAAGTCACAATATAGAACCAAGAGGACCCTAGACTTAGCAGTTGCACAAGCAATTGCAGACTCCAACTATGCATATTGCAGGAGCTGCAATGATAAGACACTCGGTTTTCATCGCAAAATACACACACATCTATTTCTCAAAAAACAGAATGATGTGAAAGACTATCAAAGGTTAGCAGTTAATGATGTTGTAATGTTTTTTTACGCTCTGTCAAGGTAATTTTTTTCGGAAATGTTTATTGTGAATTATATTTACGGTATCCCGTGGCCTGGTATGCAGTGCTTCCGCCTCACTGAAGTCTGGGTTCGATCCCCAGCAAGGGTGGAAGCGTTGGCCGTTTCCTTACACCTGCTGTCCCTGTTCACCTAGCAGTAAGTACATACCTGGGTGTTAGTCGACTGGTGTGGGTTGCATCCTGGGGGACAAGATTGGGGACCCCAATAAGACAGACAGTCCTCAATGATGCACTGACTTTCTTGGGTTATCCTGGGTGGCTAACCCTCCTGGTTAAAAATCCAGAGAAAATCTTGAGGCACATGTATACCTTGATGCTGATGAATGGCTTACAATCTAGAGACTATGAGCTATTCTTTTATTCTCGTCAAATATGATTACCTCCCATTTAGCAGACAGTGACCCTTACGGGTTTACCACTTCCTTGTAAACATGACACAATATAACACACAAGGAGGGGTCAAGGAAACTCGACCTGATGACACTGGAGGACAGGAAGGATAGGGAGGACTTGATAACGGCATATAAAATACCGAGAGGGATTGACAAGGCGAACAGAGACAAGATTTTCCAGAGATGGTACACAGAAACAATTATTAAAGTTAATTAGTTTTAGGTACAGGTACACACATTATCATATGTAGTAACATATGTGTAAATTACCTAGGATAACTCCAAAAAAAAGCCATTGATATTTCTATTGGGGTCCTGTACTCACCCATGTGTGGTTGCAGGGGTCATGTCACAGTTGTCAATGTTCACTGAATTTTAAAAGTAATCAAAGCTACAATTCTTGCCTTGATCTTACAATTGATTCTCTCCTATAGATCAAGGGTCTGTGATCGCTGTGCTATGAGATACGTCAACAAGTCCTTCTGTGCTGTCATGTGTTATTCATGCCTTAAGGAAGAAAGAATTACCTCGTCTCATTTAGATAACAAATGCTTCTCTTGTGGGCTAATCTACTGTCTAGATGGTAAGTTAATAATTTGTAATAATTTGTGTATTTTTTCATGTGAATATTTTTTTTTTTGAAAAAGCCGTTTCATCTCGTAAATGTTTTTTACTCATGTATCCTTCATTGGTTATTTTTTTTTTATCTTTCTAGGAGAAAGTGAATGTCCAGGATGCTGTTTCAGTCCTGTCAAAGAGTTTGTGTGTTACAAATGTGAACTGGTGACGGATAATCTTGCATTACACAAGTGTAGAATCGGTAAGATGTTTATAGTATGAATTTGTTACTCTTACAAGATAACTCCAGCATTCCTCACTTGCTTGCTTGGTCTGCTGTTATTTTTGATGGTCCTTCTTGTTGTAAACACCGATATCTTAATATTAATGAATTTATTTCTTTTACAGTATAGTATAGGTAATACAGTTTACATGCAGTATAATATTTTTAAGCATAAAAGAAAGCCGCTAACATGACACTGACTTGCTTCATCAGCTGTAAGTCCCATCCTTTCACTTTAAGTCCTTTCAAATCTTCCAGTTCTCTCGTTCAGTCATCTTTCATTCTGCAGCACAGTGCTGTATGGTCCTTACAGGTTTAGGGCTTTCCATGAATAATAAATATTATTACTGTATTATTATAATCATGGGGGAGCGCTAAACCCATAGGATTATACAGCACATATGGTGAGGGGAATGGAAGGCATTCAGGCTCAATTCAGGGAATGGGAGCAAAGATCCAATTCCCCTTGAGGGGGATAATAATAACAATAATAATCTTACACATTCTGCTATCTCATCCTTCTGTAAAACGCTACCCCTCAAGGAAGGTTCCTTGATGTTGGTGAGGGGCTCTTGATTTAGGAAATTGGATCTGTGCTCCAGTTCCTTGAATTAAGCCTGAATGCCTTCCACATCCCTCCCCAGGCGCTGTATAATCCTCCGGGTTTAGCGCTTCCCCTTGATTATAATAATAATGTAAAACGCTACAGTATACAGCCTCTCCTCACTTAGTGACATACTCATTTACTGACGCCTCGGACTTAGGACGGGCTCTCTGACCAGTATTCATACCTATATAATGTACATATTAGAACTGATTTCCTCTATTCTGTTTATTTCAATATACAGTACACAACTGTATAAACATTTAATAATATACCAGAAATGTTATAAATGGTGCAAAGGTGACATTAAAACAATTATAGTATGCTCCTCATTTAGTGACGAATTCGTTTAACGATGTGGTCATAGGAACGGAACTCCGTCGTTAAGTGAGGAGAGGCTGTATATACTTCACTTGTGGTTGTTGTATTCAGTATTGCTAAGAGAACACTAACCAAAAACCAAGAGAGTTTGATGGCATTCAAATGTATGCAAAGCAATTATTTTTTTTAGCATGCTGGTTGTCTCACACTATTACTGTCTCATCATAGGCATGCAGATATGACAGTTTAGATGCTGCTCTAAACAGCAGATAAATCCCAAACCACTCTGAGTGCAGGCACTGTACGTCCCACCTACAGGATTCAAGTCCGGCTAACCAGTTTCCCTGAATCTCTTCACAAAATATTACGCTGCTCACACTCCAACAGCTCATCAAGTCCCAAAAACCATTTGTCTCCACTCCTGTCTAACACACTCACACATGCAATTTTTTATTATATACACGTATATATATATTAGTGGCGACCCATAACGCCTGTAATTCCTATACTATCGTACCTCATCAAACTTCTGTTTTTAATAATTTTTTATCTCGTTTCAACAAAAAACAAAAAATTCACTTACAGATACAATGAAAACAAAATACAACAGATTTTTCCTGTAATATATTTATCATTTGCACATTATTTTAGCGTAAAGTTGATGAAGTCATACGTCTGGCAGTGAGCATCTGGGGGGGGGGGGGGACTGCAGCTCTGCAGCTCCTACGGACGAGCCGCCACAGATATATATACACTGTATATACGCATGTTGTGCCGAATACGTAAAACAGAAACAGATCACTTAGCAAGAACTCATTTAAAATGAAGTTCTTCTAAAATTTTCTCTTATATGTTTAAAGACATTTTTTTCATTTATGTTAATGTAAAAATTAATAATTTTGTATCAAAAGAACAATAGAAAACTTACCTAACTTTATTATAACAAGCACAATTTAATTTAGCCTAATCCAACTAAATATATGTTAGATAAGGTTTAAGTAATTTAATAATAAACAAGCACAATGTAATACACTTACCATCCGACTTATGACCTGCTCGACATACGACCACTCGACTTATGACCGTGTTTTGTATGCCAAATTTCTAGGAAATAAACACCTGTTTGTGTTGTACCCAGTGTTTATCATAAACCTTACATTATAAAATGCAGTACTAACAGCATAAAAAGTAATATAAAAAATGAAATGAACATTAAAATGGTATAAAATACCGACAGATTGTTAGGTAAGACACATATGCAACAGTTAGGTATCTTTATTTTGAAACGTTTCGCCTACACTGACTTTGACTTTGAAAATGTGTAAAAAAAAACTTTGATCTACTTTTTTTTTTGTTATATTTGAAAATATGTAAAAAAAAACGTAGATCTACTTTTGTAGCACTATACATGTGAACGTAGATCTGCTTGGACAGTTTACGGGTTAAATGAGCAATTGAGCCACGCCTTAAAAATGCATGCACAGTACACACATTACTTACCTTAAAATATTTTTATAACTAGCTTATAGTGAGTGGTGAATATATTTATTGTAGGAAGTCTGAATAAATGAAGAATGGCTATAATTGAAAATGGGTGCATTAGCAAAACACGGTAAAGTGAAGCGTTGTAAAGCAGGGCCCGCCTGTGTTGTATTTTCTGGCATAAAAGGCACACAAGCATATAAGATGACGTTTCTGAGCAGTTGTAATGTAACGTTAGTAAACAACTGCTAAAGCGTAACACAGAGCTTACCCTTCACCCTGACCTTCAGCATATGAGGTGCAGGATAATTTTCCAAGACTTTCTGTGGGAAACAAAAAGCACTGCCATATGCCAGAAAATAAGGCAAAGTTGTGAAGAAGCCTTGTACACCTACCATCCGACTTACGACCTGCTCGACTTACGACCACTCGACTTACGACCATGTTTTTTATGCCAAATTTCTGGGAAATAAACAACTATTTGTGTTGTACACAGTGTTATCTTAAACCTTACAGTATAAAATACAGTACTAACAACATAAAAAGTAAAGTAAAACATGAAATACCAAAATAAAACAATAAAATAAAGCCATTACAAAAATGTTTTGTTGATATTCAGTAGTAAAGTTCGACTTATGACCATTTTGACTTACGACCCGTTTCTCGGAACCGAACTTGGTTGTAAGTCGGATGGTAGGTGTATATTATTAATATAGTTTTATATTGCAGGCGAAGAAAAAGAAGAACAGTTGCCGTGTGATTTTGAAGGTGGCACTGCTATTATTGGTCCAGTTGAAGACGCAGCTGCAACTGACTCTACTTCCAACATCAATGTTTGGACTGGCTTACAGTGCTATAATAGCAACACTGATTGCGATGATGATATTGAAAACCTGGATATAAGGAAGGAAGATGATAATTATTCTCATCTTTCTCACTCTCCTGGGGTACAATGTGATATTTGGAAAGAAGAATTCTACGACGAACAAGAAATTACAGAAAATGTAGATACGAGCTTGTATAATTTGGAACGTCAAATTGTGTTAACTAATTCTCATGAAGATAATAAAGGAAGGTCAACAAAAAGTGGTAAGAAATCCATGAATTTTTTTCCGGGCTATGTGCCTTTTCTTACTGTTTAAAGTTGTATCACTCCTATCATTAGGAATTAAAGATGATTTAAATTCAAATGATGGTGAAAGTTTTTCTTTTTCGGGCCACCCTGCCTTGGTGGGAATCGGCCAGTGTGATAATAAAAAAAAATAATAAAATTAAATTCAAATTCAAAATCAAATTCTTCATTTCTTTCATGCAGTGCAGTACACAGATAATGTAGTTTGTATTATCTGTGTACTGGTGAATTTTGGGCACACTAATCCTAATGCTTAAAGACTCTTAAGAAGTAGACAGATTTTTTCTCTATGGTGAAGTGGAAAAGAATTCTTCCTCCATAAGTCATGCGTGTTGTAAGAGGCGACTAAAATGCCGGGAGCAGCGGCAAGTAACCCCTTCTGTATAAATTACTAAATTTAAAAAGAATTTTTTTTTTTAAGTAATGGTGGGATACAGCCTGTGTGTTGAAAAAAAAAAAAACCATGTCTGAGGGCAATGTGTGGTGTGAATATAATGCAGAGAATTCGTAGTTTGGAAGTTAGGAGGAGGTGCGGGATTACCAAAACTGTTGTCCAGAGGGCTGAGGAAGGGTTGTTGAGGTGGTTCGGACATGTAGAGAGAATGGAGCGAAACAGAATGACTTCAAGAGTGTATCAGTCTGTAGTGGAAGGAAGGCGGGGTAGGGGTCGGCCTAGGAAGGGTTGGAGGGAGGGGGTAAAGGAGGTTTTGTGTGCGAGGGGCTTGGACTTCCAGCAGGCATGCGTGAGCGTGTTTGATAGGAGTGAATGGAGACAAATGGTTTTTAATAATTGACGTGCTGTTGGAGTGTGAGCAAAGTAACATTTATGAAGGGATTCAGGGAAACCGGCAGGCCGGACTTGAGTCCTGGAGATGGGAAGTACAGTGCCTGCACTCTGAAGGAGGGGTGTTAATGTTGCAGTTTAAAAACTGTAGTGTAAAGCACCCTTCTGGCAAGACAGTGATGGAGTGAATGATGGTGAAAGTTTTTCTTTTTCGGGCCACCCTGCCTTGGTGGGAATCGGCCAGTGTGATAATAAAAAAAAAAATAAATATTTCTAAGGCAATGCATAATGATGGTTTATATAAAAATCAGTACAGTAGAATACCAGAATTTGCATGGAATTGGTTCTTAGAGACTACATGAATCTTCTAGCCTAAGCTGGTGGGAGAAATGGATGTGCCTCATATAGGCCAGTAGGTCTGCTGCAGTGTTCCTTCTTTCTTACGTTATGTTCTTAATACCTCTACTGTGTTTTTTTTCAGGGTCATTGCACCCATGGCCCAATCACAGACTAGGCCTTCTAGTTGGTAATCTGATCAATCAGTTTATTGGTGCTGGCTACACACAGTCCACTGTATACTTGCAACAGCTCGAATGCTTGAGAACATGGTTAAGGAACTTTCAACATTCCCTTTGTTGTCAAATTAGACACATGTGCAACTCTTGGGTATCTTTATTGAGGAAACGTTTTGCCACACAGTGGCTTCATCAGTCCATACAAAGGATAAACTTGAAGAACAGGAGGAGAATGAGATAATCAGTCCCTCAGCCTTGAGTCGATGTGGTCAGTCCATCAAGATTGATGGACTGACCACATCGACTCTAGGCTGAGGGACTGATTACCTCATTCTCCTCCTGTTCTTCAAGTTTATCCTTTGTATGGACTGATGAAGCCACTGTGTGGCGAAACGTTTCCTCAATAAAGATACCCAAGAGTTGCACATTCCCTCTTGTGGACAGCTAGGAGTCTAATGGGAATTTCCCTTATGTTTGAAAGGGTGTTGAAAAGTCTTGGTCACCTTACTCTTATCAAGTTCTCTTAGTGTACTCATTGCTTCCCCTGCTTTTTACTGGGGCCTTTTGCACCGTTATGCTCTCAAGAGATTGAATCATGGACACTCAGTGTGTGAGGCAGTGTGTTGCCAACGCCCACTTCTCTCTTGTTTTCAGTTGCTTTATACACATGTTCTCACTCATTATACAATAAAGTAGTTGAATTGGATATAAAACAGGACAGTGTTAGAATTCTGCATTAATTTGGAATATAAATTTGGAAGGACGATAGCAGCATATGGCCTCTCAACATATTTTTTGGTTGTCTCATTCAGTCTTGTTTCATGTTTATCTTCACTCACAATTTTACATCAGACTTAGAGTTGTAACACTTAACCCTTTCAGGGTCCACAGGCCCTCTCAGAGACTTGTTCTCAGGGTCCCCCAAATTTAAAAAAAAAAAAAAAAAAAAAATTTCTTATGAAAAGATAGAGAATCATTTTCCGATCATAATGACACCAAAAGTATGAAATTCGATGGAAAACTTACGGAATTATGCTCTCGCGAAGTTAGCGGTCTCGACGATGTCTACACATCGGCGATTTTGCGAACTTTGAGCCCTATTTTCCATTGTACTAGCCAACAAAAATCATAACTATTTTGCTAGAATTCCATTTTTTCTATCGATTGAGTACAAGAAACCACCCATTTACCGATTTCAACTATCCAATACAGTGGTCAGAATTTAGCAATTTTGCCAATTTCACAAATTTCAAAATATGCCAATTTCCAAATAGGGTCCAGAATAAATAAGAAAGACATTCCTGGCACTAAAATAACATCTCCTCTGTTCATTAGTCACGTCCCCACGCCCCTCTTACGTTCTTTTGCTTTCCATTTTGAATTTTTATTCTCACAAAAAATAGAAGATTTACTGTTATGCAGACTACTGCAGTAGTGTAGAAATGGTATAAATAATATCGGTGCACTTGTGAAAGAATATTAGACTCGCCAGTTGACGTGTATTGGACGCTTAGCATGATTTGTTTACTTTTGAACTTTGGTGAAAATTGATCATTTCTGCTATTTTGAGCTCAATTTCAAGGTACTTTTCATTGTAAAACCAGTCAAAATCATCTCAATTTCTGTAATATGTCTTCCATTCTATAAAATGAGACCAGGAAAACTAGAATACAACAAATACCATACGAAAATGCAGTGGAAAGTCGCTGTTTTAATCCAAAAACACTGTCAAAGTTTTTTTTTTTCTCATTATGCACTGTGTGCTGCAGGATTTTTTTTATACTGCACACATTGACCACATAGACCCATTTTTTCATATGTAGGCCTACCAGCTTTCTCTCACTAGATTTGAAGGCACTTGAACTTATGAGTACTAGTACGTCAAGGACCCTGGCACGTAAGCCGTACTAGTACGCCCGAAACTCTGAAAGGGTTAAACACTGTATGATGCACTTGTATATCAGGGGACCAGGCTGACATACTCCATATGCCAATTTTTTGTGTTTCTAAATTTGCTGGACATTGCAATGTTAGGTCTTAGGTTATTTACAGGAGCCCCCGCTTATACAGCAGGTTAAGTTCTGGGCTACTGTAAAGCCCCGCTTATACAGCAGGTTAGGTTCTGGGCTACTGTAAAGCCCCACTTATACAGCAGGTTAGGTTCTGGGCTACTGTAAAGCCCCGCTTATACAGCAGGTTAGGTTCTGGGCTACTGTAAAGCCCCACTTATACAGCAGGTTAGGTTCTGGGCTACTGTAAAGCCCCACTTATACAGCAGGTTAGGTTCTGGGCTACTGTAAAGCCCCACTTATACAGCAGGTTAGGTTCTGGGCTACTGTAAAGCCCCACTTATACAGCAGGTTAGGTTCTGGGCTACTGTAAAGCCCCACTTATACAGCAGGTTAGGTTCTGGGCTACTGTAAAGCCCCACTTATACAGCAGGTTAGGTTCTGGGCTACTGTAAAGCCCCGCTTATACAGCAGGTTAGGTTCTGGGCTACTGTAAAGCCCCACTTATACAGCAGGTTAGGTTCTGGGCTACTGTAAAGCCCCACTTATACAGCAGGTTAGGTTCTGGGCTACTGTAAAGCCCCGCTTATACAGCAGGTTAGGTTCTGGGCTACTGTAAAGCCCCGCTTATACAGCAGGTTAGGTTCTGGGCTACTGTAAAGCCCCACTTATACAGCAGGTTAGGTTCTGGGCTACTGTAAAGCCCCACTTATACAGCAGGTTAGGTTCTGGGCTACTGTAAAGCCCCACTTATACAGCAGGTTAGGTTCTGGGCTACTGTAAAGCCCCACTTATACAGCAGGTTAGGTTCTGGGCTACTGTAAAGCCCCACTTATACAGCAGGTTAGGTTCTGGGCTACTGTAAAGCCCCGCTTATACAGCAGGTTAGGTTCTGGGCTACTGTAAAGCCCCGCTTATACAGCAGGTTAGGTTCTGGGCTACTGTAAAGCCCCACTTATACAGCAGGTTAGGTTCTGGGCTACTGTAAAGCCCCACTTATACAGCAGGTTAGGTTCTGGGCTACTGTAAAGCCCCACTTATACAGCAGGTTAGGTTCTGGGCTACTGTAAAGCCCCGCTTATACAGCAGGTTAGGTTCTGGGCTACTGTAAAGCCCCACTTATACAGCAGGTTAGGTTCTGGGCTACTGTAAAGCCCCACTTATACAGCAGGTTAGGTTCTGGGCTACTGTAAAGCCCCACTTATACAGCAGGTTAGGTTCTGGGCTACTGTAAAGCCCCACTTATACAGCAGGTTAGGTTCTGGGCTACTGTAAAGCCCCACTTATACAGCAGGTTAGGTTCTGGGCTACTGTAAAGCCCCACTTATACAGCAGGTTAGGTTCTGGGCTACTGTAAAGCCCCACTTATACAGCAGGTTAGGTTCTGGGCTACTGTAAAGCCCCGCTTATACAGCAGGTTAGGTTCTGGGCTACTGTAAAGCCCCGCTTATACAGCAGGTTAGGTTCTGGGCTACTGTAAAGCCCCGCTTATACAGCAGGTTAGGTTCTGGGCTACTGTAAAGCCCCGCTTATACAGCAGGTTAGGTTCTGGGCTACTGTAAAGCCCCACTTATACAGCAGGTTAGGTTCTGGGCTACTGTAAAGCCCCACTTATACAGCAGGTTAGGTTCTGGGCTACTGTAAAGCCC